AGAGTCAAAACCCTCAGCTACCCCTGCCACTGTCCACTGTGCTGTCAGCACCCCATCCATTCCCCCCTATTTGCCCTTCTGGTAAATCTAGTCAGCCAGAGGTCCCTGTTCCAGGAGGATCAGCTGTTCCTCATCCACGGCAATCCATTGTCAGTATTCCTTTGGTCCCTTCACCTCCTTTTAAGAAGTAGCTGTATACTGGAAGGTGCTCCTGGCATTTGCTGTGACTTGTTCTGGTCACATATAACATAGGTCAACAAAGCTTGTGAGCTATCTCTTGTGCATTTTCTATTCCTTGAAAGCAGAATAGAGAACTTTGCTGTCCTCATTGTTATTGCTGATGTTTACATGAGACTAAAGGAACTCAAGGAGGGAGTTTTAAAAACATAGTCACTCTTGAGTTTGCCTCATCGACTCAGATGCATTTGAATGGGTAGTCACTCCTAGAGTCTGTTAGTCACAGACCAGGTAGGGTGCAGCATCTAGAAGATGTGTTCATTCTTCCAAAGGGGACAAATGAAAGCCTGAGTAGAGATTGTATCATGACCATATACCCTAAAGGGAAATTAAGAAGAAAATAAAAAATATATTGCAGAATTTAAAATAGAGCAACACTGTTCTTGTCTTCCAGGAAGATGTTTTGATTCTGTCATTCTTCGCTTCTGAAGAACATGGCTTCTTGCTACATGACTGCTTCCCTCGGCCTCCCACCTATCAGAACCTTCTAGGAATGGAAGTACCTTATTATTACTTCACAAAAAAGGTACAAATCCATGAGACTTGTGCAGGTCTTTTCTATTCTCTCCCTTGCCTGGCTGGGTTCTTCTATGTGTCTCCAGTGCACTGAGGTAGGAGTTGGCTTTCCAGGTGCCAAGGCTCATGTCTCATGAATCCAGTTCAGCCACCAGCTATAAGTTGTCATCTGACATCCCATAAGCATTAATGTCTCATGTGTTGGGAAACCTCACAAACAGTGGCTTTGTTCTCAGGACGGATAAAAGTGATGCTGGGCTGTGACTTAGCAGGACTTTTGGCCCTTTTTTCTTGATTTTCCCTATGAAGGCACAACTTTCAGCCTTTCTGTCTTTTTGTTGTTGTTGCTCTAAGTGGTTTTTTGTTGTTTTTTGGGGGGGAGGGGTCTTTTTGAGACAGGGTCTCCCTGTAGCCCCAGCTGTCCTGGAACTCACTATGTAGACCAGGCTGGCCTTGAACTCACAGGGATCCACCTGCCTCTGCCTCCCAAGTGCTGGGATTAAAGGCATGCACCACCATGCCCAGCCTAGGTGGTTTCTTAAAATAAATATTCCTATATTTGTCATAGAGAATTTAGGAATTACAAACAAGTAAAAACCAGGGTTGATATAAATCTCCATGATCACAGTTCAGAGATGGTCACTATGAGGCAGTTGCCACCACCACTCAGGAGGTGTCTGTACCTAGGTATAAATGAGACACATGAATATGTGGTTTATAAATTTTTGAAAGAACGTGGTCAGTAAACACAGGCACACATCCCAACCCAGGTATTTTATATGCCTGAGATCCAGTTGGGCTCTGGTTCTAAAATGACTTATTCAGAAAAAAGTAGTAACCTGAATCCAGGCAGATACACTCTACCTGTGACTTGTTGCATCCACTTCACGAACTGCTAATTTCAGGCTTTAGGCTCCATTGTCACCTGAAGGGCTTCTTTTTTTTCTTTTTTTTCTTTTTTTTTTCCTCTTTTTCTTTCAGTGCTGGAGGTCAAACACAAAATCTCACACATGCTAACTAAACAAGTGCTCTACCACAGTGACCTATACTCCCAACCCTACCCAAAGGGCTTTTACTACATAAGAACCCAGTGGGCCAACAGGATCAGAAGCACAGCCTAGGCTGGTTGCTGCCAGTGAGCTCCGTGGTATTCTGTAGCTGCTGCTGCCATGGCTTTGATCACAGGAACTGAGGAAGCTACCCTCTTACTGGACCCATGCCCTCTGCAAATATGTAGATATCCTCCCTGTTACTTCCCTTGCACTGACACACAAGAAAGGGAGGCTAATGGTGCCAATCTTTGCCTACGTGTTTCTTGATTTTCCCCATAAGGTAATGTAAGATAAGTCTTTAAAATGAGCCCCATTTTCTAATTATGTATATGTATATGTGGGTATGTGCATGTGAATGCAGGTACCTGTGGAGGCCAGAAGTATCAAATCCCCTGGAACTAGAGTTACAGGTGATTGTGAGCCATCTGACATGGGTGATGTGAACTGAACTCAGGTCCTCTGCAGGAGCAGTACATCATGCTCTTAACTACTGAGCCATTTCTCTCCCCCTTCCTTTCTTCTTCTCTCCTTTCCTTCCTTTCTTCCTTCCTTTTTTCTTTCTTAAGGCAAGAAGTTTCTGTGTAGCCCAGACTGACATGAACTCACAGCAATCCTCTGGCCTTAGCCTCCTGAGTGATAAGATTGCTGGCATTACAGGTAAATTCAACCATGATACTTTTGCAGCCAAAAGTGGGTGGGAGGATAGGCTACAGGAAGACAGAACAAAGGGCCTGTGTGCTCTGGGTAGTCCGCTCTGCATAGCCATATAAGCTAAGGTGACTGTACCATGTGGATTGCTAGACAGTCACAAATGAGCATGCAGCCCTCACTTAGCCTCTTCCCAGAGCTGTGATTTACTTTAAAAGGCCATGATGGGGGCGGGGAGTGACTGGAGAGATGGCTCAGTGGTTAAGAACAGTGATTGCTCTTGCAGAGGACCCAAGTTTGGTTCCCAGCACCCACATGGTGGCTAACAACCATATGTAACTCCAGTTCCAGGGGATCCAGTACCTTTTTCTGGTCTCCACAGGCATTGCATGCACACGTGCACTTATATACATGTAGACAGAACACATACACATAAAATAAAAATAAATCAAAAAAATTAAAAAGCAGCTGGGCGTGGTGGTGCACACCTTTGATCCCAGCACTTGGGAGGCAGAGGCAGGCAGATCTCTGTGAGTTCAAGACCAGCCTGGTCTACATACAAGTTCCTGGCCAGATGGGGAGACCCTATCTCAAAAAAAAAAAAAATTAAAAAGCATAGAAGATGGGGTAAAATGAATGTTTCCCCTTGATTTGTGACCGTTTAATAACCAGGTTTATGGGAGCCTCTAGTTTTGAGATCTATAGACCTGCATATACAATGATATACACATTTTAAACAAGAGTATATATGAAACAATTGGTTCCAGTTTTCCAAGTCACCATGTAAAGCAGTATTGCACGGTCACTAGAGGTTGGCATATGAGCAGTTTATATGTTACACTTTCACATACCTTAAGATGGAGTTGATCTTTGTGAAGACTAGGGAAGTGTTGATGTGATTTGATAAATTCAGGGAGTCCCCTTGCTCTGTCAGTGCAAGTGTCCTTAATTGCCTTATTTTAAATAGAATACCATGAGACTGATGTTTTCCTGGTGTTTTTTTATTCTTGTCTTATGTTCCTTGTGTACTTTAATTTCCCTTTGATTTCAAATCAAAAAAGGTGGGAAAACTCAAAAAATCTTTTAAATTTGGGGCTGGAGAGATGGCTTAGCAGTTAAGAACACTGGTTGTTCTTGCAGAAGACCCGAGTTTGAATCCCAGCACCCACATAGCAGTTAACAACTATCTGTAACTCCAGTCCCAGGGGATCCAGCACCCTCTTCTGACCTCCATGGGCATTGCACGACATGGGTGCACTCACCTACATGCAGGCAATACATGCATACACATAAAATAAAAATAAAAATTTTTAGAAAATCTTTTAAATTCTTTCTGTTGTTTTCCCTATTAATTTCACATTATGGGTTTTGGTTTCTTCCACACATTTACGCATGTTTCTTTTTCTCATCCTCATCTCCCTTTCTGTGCCTGCACTCATAGTTGTTATTCCACAGAAGAGGCATATATGATGCAATTGTAAGTATGAAGCCCAGGTTATGGCTTGTCACCTTGGCTTTGTTATTTTCCTAAGACCCTTTCTTCTTGCGTTTTCAGCTGTATTGGTGTATACCAATACTTCCTGCCTACCCTGCTCACCTATGTAGGAAGCTTTCTTGGGAGGCTGGGGCATTTTATTTAGCCAGGAGCCATGTCATCTAGCCAAATTGATGGGAGCCCATCGACTCATGGCCTGGCCTGGACCTATGGCTTGTACAGCCATCTCACCTGCTATCCACATACAGGAATTGCTTAGTTGATTTATGGTTGCAATATAGGGAGTATCATTTAGTTTAACTGCATAGTGCTGCCAAGGAATAGTTGGAAGGCATTTTGCACCTTTAAAGGCTGCTCTTATTCTGTTTGCCAGCATGCAGTTCTTCAGTCTCCTTTCCCCCCAAGATCAATCGATCGATCGATCGATCGATTGATTGATTGATTGATTGATTGATTGATTGATTTTTTTGGTCTTTTTGAGACAGGGTTTCCCTATAGCCCCAGCTGGCCTGGAACTTGCTATGTAGACCAGGCTGGCCTTGAACTCACAGAGATCCACCTGCCTCTGCCTTTGGAGTGCTGGAACTAAAGGCGTGCACCACCATGCCTAGCTTCCCCCAAGATTCTAATACCTACATATTACAGGGTGGTCTTGGAAAATCCACTGCCTTTAGTCCCAATACCCTTACCATGTGACTGGCAGGTTGCACCAGTCTACTATGACACAGGATAAATAGTCTCTGCCTCTCATCCAAATACTAATGAAGTCTCAACCCTGTTTAGCTCCCAAGATGAGACAAATTCAGATGTATTCAGGATAGTGTAGCCATTGACAACAGTTTTTGTCTCAGAGATCAGTGATAAGGATCTAAAATGAGATCCAAGATAAGTAGACAGGGCATAGGGAATTCCAAGACCCCCACAGCCAGGCATGATGACACAAGCCTTTAATCTCAGCACTCGGGAGGCAGAGGCAGGCAGATCTCTGTGAGATAAGAGAACAGCCTAGTCTACATAGTGAATTCCTCAGTGGGAATGCTGCTTTGAAGTTATTGAACCAAAGCAACAGGAATTCTATGTTTTATGTATGTTTTCTGACAGTATCCTATTTGGTGCACAACTAGCCCAAATTCTTCAGTCACCTACCTGGTATGACCTAATTTTACAGATCCATGGACCTAAGCTCAAGCTGCCTTCAACCTACCTCAGAGCCTTTGCTATGCCCTGTGCTGTGTCTGGAAGGGCTTCTCAGCCACAAATGTGCCTGATAAATCCCACCAATTTTTCAAGGTCCTGGTCAGGTGTTAGCTTCTCTGGGGGACCTGCTCACTGAGGCTACCAGTCAGGCTCAGAAGAAGCAGTAAGGCTGAATTGCTCATGGCAACTGAGCTGGTGAGGAAGGTAATGAGTGAAAGATAGAAGACTTGTGCTGGGGAGTATGTTGTATGCATGCCAAATAAACTCTGCAGAGAGAATGGGGTCCCAGCTCCAGAGAGAGGGGTCTGACCACAGATACAGAGACTGAGGGCAGTAGACGGCAGGGGCAATGGTCTTCTCAGCACTCCCTGTTCAAGAAAGTCAGCTGCTGTTCTTTAAGAGAATTCACAGAGAAGTATCTGTGTCTGACTTGACTTAAACCTGGTAAAAAGTCTTTAGCAGGGGCTGGAGAGTTGGCTCAGCGGTTAAGAGCACTGACTGCTCTTGCAGAAGACCCGGGTTTGATTCCCAGCACCTACATGGCGGCTATGAACCGTCCTTAACCTCCAGTTCCAGGGGAATCCGAAGCCCTCTTCTGACCTCTGCAGCATTGCACAACTCGGGTGCACTCACATACATGCAGGCAATACACTCATACACATAAAATAAAAATAATAAATAAAATATTTTTTAAAAAAGTCTTTAGGATGAATGAAACATACCTGGGAGATTAGAGTAGAAAAGGGGCTTTTTGTTTGTTTTTTGGTTTTGGTTTTGAGTTTTGTTTGTTTTTTCTTTGTATTATTTTTAGACAGAATTCTCCCTGTAGCCCCAGCTGACCTGGAACTCTGTGCAGACCAGACTGGCATCAATCTCACAGAGATCCCCTTGTCTCTGCCTCTTGAGTGCTGGGATTAAAGGCATGCCCCACCACACCCAGTGATAGAGTTACTTTTAATGTTGAGACCTGGACATTACTGAATTTGAGGCTGACAAGTTCATACCTGGACAGCCTTTGTTTACCTGTTATCTGAAATAAGGGCCCAAGGCTCTGATCATTTCCACTGACATTAAAGATTTTCCAGGATCATGAGGGAACCATTTAACCTATGGGTAGATACCTGTGCATTCCTGTAGGTAGATTTCCCCATGACTGACATGAATATAGAGGTAAGACTGGGTGCAGGTATTACCTTTACATGATTTAACAAGCCTATGGGGTCTTTTTCTCCAGCCTGGAGAAGCAGATAAAGAAGACAGGATGGATTCTGGGAACTACCACATCCAGATGGTAGCCAAGAGACCCCTACGAGACTTTGTGGGTCTGGAGGACTGTGATAAGCCTACTCGAGATGCCATGGTCAACTTCAGCTTCTTTGTCACTGTTGGAGATATGGATGAAGCTTTCAAATCTATCAAACTCATCAAAAGGTAAGGAGTCCATTTGCTGAAATGTCAAGGGGGATGTGTGCTGGGCGTGGTGGCTCACGCCTGTAGTTCCAGCACTTGGGAGGCAGAGGCAGGCGGATCTCTGTGAGTTCAAGGACAGCCTGGTCTACATAGTGAGTTCCAGGACAGCTTGGGCATACAGGGAGACCCTGCTTCAAAAAGACCAAAAAAAAACCACCAAAAAACAAAGGGAATGTGTATGTCACTTACAGTCTTCAATCTTTTTTATGCCTTCTTTATCAATTAGTAAGCTAACAGCTCTTCTGTGATTATATCAAGTGTTTAGCTTTTTCCACTCAATGAAATGCCATCAAGCAGGGGATGTGGGATATATCTGGCACACTGGTGTGTTTGGTGTAGAAGGCAAGCCTGGCTCTCTGTATCTTTGGTGCTAGGAGCTTCCAGGCTGTCATTTAATGATTTACGTTTATTTTAGAGTGTTTGAGATATTTTTTAATCAAAAGTTATGCAGGCACTAAATATTGCTCAAAGGTATTAGTAAATTCATTCAAAACTAGCAGTGAAAATATAGTTAAAATTTTATGAAAGAAGTTACCCTGATCTGGGTATGCTGGCTCACTCTTGTAATTTTAGCACTTGGGAAGCTAAAACAGAAGAATGAGTATGAGTTGGAAGCTATCCTGAACTGTGGAGTAAGCTCCATCCAGGCCAGACTTTGCTATAGAGTAAGACCTTGTCTCAAAATAGAAAGAAAAGAAAAAGCAAAAGAAATCAATTAAGGACCATCTACAAGCATCTTCTCCATTCCTGAGAGACTTCAGAGCTTCTTAGCAAGATCATTTGACAGATTTTCATTTTAAAAGGTAGAAAAATTGTGGAAGAGAGTCGTACTGTGAGAAAAGAAAGGTATAAAATTTAAATGCCTAAGAGTAATCATCACCTACAGGATGATTTTGTAATGCAAATGGGACTTTTCAGGATAATGTAGAACCCTCATCCACTGTCTTTGAAAACTATTGAGACCAAGCTTTATGCAAGTAGAAAGGTCTTAGACATACAGACCTTTGGCTTGAAGGTGACCAGAGAGGTTGAATGACATAGCCCAGCCTCTCTTGGATCACTGTTTTTTGGTTTTTGATGTTTTGTTTTGTTTTTTGTGCGGGGGGTGGTGGTCTTTTTGAAACAGGGTCTTCCTGTAGCCCCAGCTGTCTGGAACTCACTATGTAGACCAGGCTGGCCTTGAACTCACAGAGATCTGCCTGCCTCTACCTCCGAAATGTTGGGACTACAGGTGTACACCACTACGCTGTCTGGGATCACTTTCATTTACTGTGAATATCATCACAGACTAAAGCTGACTGCATGACCACTTTTAAACCTTCTATATACCTTATATAGGTATATACATAATACTAGTGTATATCGGTATATACATAATATTAACATATGACTGGAAATAAAAATTTTTTGTAGGAAGAGTTAAGTAAGAGTAAATCATAGCTAAGTACCTACATACGTGTGCTGTACTGTGGACATACACGTGTGCTATACTGTGGACATACACCTGCTCATTTCTAGTGCTGAGTGTGTCACATGTGGCCAATCCTGTATGATTAAGGCACCAACCCATTTCACTCTTTGTTCTGACTGAAGGCAAAGCCTTGGCACAAAATGGGCTTCAGAATATAACCTGATCACCTTAGAGTCATTAGAAGTCTGACAGCAACAAAGTTTGACTTTTATTAGGAGAGGCAGCCAAAGGGGCTCAATTTCACTCCTGGCACTCATGTTCTGATTGTGCCAGCTTCCTTTTTCTGCATATGCCAACAGTGATTCCTGCCTCCTGGTGGCCATGATCAAGCAGTGCAGCTTCATAGTCAGAGGCAGTGTAGTGCAGGTGTGCACTAGGACTGGGTTCACAGATGTGATCAGGCAGTCCTGAATTCTCTGGGCTATTTTTGACCCCAGAGGTACAAATTTTAGATGCTTCCTAGGGATCCACAGACTAAGGAACTGGCTTGCTTAGAGACAGCATGGCATCCAGAGGCATTTCATAGCCTGTCCTGCACTAACTGGAGAAGCTGGAAGGCTTTCCTAGGGAAAGGTAGCAGATCTCATCCTTTCTGCTCTCCTTATTGATCTGCTTTCCCAGGCCATGGTTTTCAGAGTCTGCAGGAATATGATTTTTTTTTGAGACAGGGTCTCCCCGTAGTCCCAGCTGGCCTACAACTTGCTATGTAGACCAGGCTGGCCTTGAACACACAGAGATCTGCCTGCCTCTGCCTCCCAAGTGCTTGGATTAAAGGCATATGCCACCATACCTGGCTAGGAATGTGAAATTTGGGGTTGCATAAACCATGAATTAGGGCACGTGCTTCCTCCAGATCTTTAATGAGATCCTTTCAACCCTTAATGTCATTCTACTAAAGTCACAGAAAAATTGTGGCAGTATGGATGGCTAAAATACAAATTTGAGATAGTTTGGAGGCTTGAGTTTATTTTAACTTAGACAAATAATCAGAAATAAAAACGTACTCTACTAGCCTGATTCTGGCATAAAACCATTACCACCTGTTATAAGTTCTGTTTCATTCAAAGAATATCAGACCCCTTATGAAAAGCTTCCTGGGTGTTCTGCTTTGTGAAAGTAAGATGTAACCAGGAATGCCATCTTAGTAGATACAGAATAAATTAACCCCAAATGGAGATGGAGAACAGAGTGCCTCAGCTTCTAATCTCTACCTTTTAAACTTGTATGATGTGAAGCCATGCTACACTGCCTGAGGAACATTGTGTCAGAAGTAGAGTGGCACACATGACGTATAGACACATAATATGTATTCATATGTAATATAATAAATGTACATGAGTATCGTACATATGTATATATAGGTAACCCAGACTTTCCCTACACCTCTGCACAAGCAGGGCCCAGGACAGTCTCTTGGTTTCTAGACTATAACGTTATAGTAGTTATTTATAGATAAAGCCCCAAGAAGGGCATTCTCAGCATGGAGACTCTACATAGTCATTGTCCAAGCCACGGCGGAACCGTGCTGTCAGGGAACGGCTGATGACAATTACCCGGGGTGCCATGCAATCCTCCCTCCGGTGAAGAATGTTCCAGATGAGCATGGCAGCCGCCAGGGTGGCCAGAAGGCAGGCTCCAATGTTCAGGTAGCAAGACCAGGATAGGTTGGTGTAAGGGCCAATTCTGTAGAAGGTCACCAGCCCAATGACCAGCACGAAGCCTGGAGAGAGAAGAATATGGTCAGGAAGCCTGTATCTAGCAGGAACTTCATCCACAGGCCTTTAGAAAGCAAGATGCACTCCTTTTCCCATTGCTGTCCTAGGACAGGTGCTGAACCACTTTGTCAGCCTTATAATCTTTGGACCTGGAGATTGCAGCCAGGGATTACCTCTGGGGAGCTGCAGGAAGAGACAGTCCAGGTGCTGTCCTGTTATTCTCTGGGCATCAGGTCTGCACACGGGGGTCAATATGGGTACCTATAGCACCAACACCTGGTAATCTTCCCAGGCCCAGACAGAACTAGCTGTAGTTTTGTTAAACTGAGTTCAGTTGCCTCTGACTTTTATAAATGCTTGATTAATTCAAAGCAAAACAAACAGATATTTCCTAAATCTATCTAGAAACACACGATTTCACTTGGTCCAAATTCCTGTTGGTGAGTTTTTATGCCCATAGCTTTGCTTTCATAGGAGGTGGAGATTTCCTGTTCGATCAGGGTGGCCCAGAGCTGACACCACAAGCAAACAGGACTAGGTTGGGGCTATCCAGGTCTGTTTTGGAATGTCTGGTTTCCTTTTACTTCTTGGTAGAAGTATCTAGGTTCAGAATTTCCTTTTCCCTTGCCCCACCTGTCTTCCCTCTGCTGCTGTTTTTCTTTCCATGACTTCCCTGTTCTCCAGAACTTGACACTACACTAGGGGCAGGAGAGGTGGGTCAGGAATTGCCATCTGGTTAATAAGTGCATGTGTTCAGTCAGAAGTTGGTACCACTGTCCTGTTTACCGTTTGTTTGTTTGTTTGTTTGTTTGATTTTGAGACTGGGTCTCACTGTGTAGCTCAGGCTGCTTTTGATCTTTTGATCATCATACTGCCTCATCCTTCTCAGTACTGCACCACCATCCCTGGGTCTCTCTAGTTCTCTTTTTAAAGAGTGACAATGGCTTAATTTTCTTAGTTCTTACCATAGGAAAATCTTGAGTTTTCTGTCTAAAATGTGTCAACTTGGGTACCAGGTCACAGCTGCTTGATAAAAAAAGCAGCACTGGGAGATATGCAAGTGGTCTTGATGGGCAAAGGCTCTGCCATGCTGTTACCCAGAAACTTGCCAGGAAAACAGCTGCAGGGAATCACCAAGATGGCCTAGGATATTACAGGACTTTGCTCAGCTGTGGCAGCAAGAATGAAGACGGCAGGGCAGAAGCAGAGGCATGTGGGAGGGGAGAGATGACAGGGACCCCATATTGTTCATACCACAGGCCAGTAGCAGTACCCACCTCCAACTATCCAGGTGACCTGGGTGAGATTTCTTATACCCAAAATGCCAGATTCCCCATTTCCTGGGTTAGTCTAGGTCACTAGTTCTTAAGTACAGCTATATCCCTTCTCTGAGCTCTAGACAAGCAAAACCCCTGTTGCTGTCCCTCTACTGCTCTGTATGTTGACATCTGTATGTTTATTCCGAATAGCACTCATAACACTTCTGCAGCTTTCCTCAGGAAAAAAAAAAATCATACCTGGCCCTGTGTGGTCCCAGAACAAAGAAAGACACAGGGTGCTAGAGCGATGGCTCAGTGGTTCAGTGAGATAACTCAGTGCTCTTGTAGAGGATCTAATTCAAGTCCCAGCACCCACATAGCAGCTAACTACTGTCCATAACTCCAATCCCAGGGGATCCAACCTCCTCTGTGACCTCTGCAGGCACTGCACACATGTGGTGCACTTACATACATGCAGACAAAATATTCATACACATAAAATAAATTTAAAATGTTTTGGGGATTTTTATCTGTTTGTTTTTTGAGACAGAGTCTCACTATGTAACCCTGGCTGGCCTGGAACTCACTATGTAGACTAGGCTGGCCTCAGACTCACAGAGATCCACCTGCCTCTGCCCCCTGAGTGCTGAGATTAAAAGCATGCATCACTATGGTCAGCAAATAAAGAGTGTGTGTGTATGTGTGTGTGTGTGTGTGTGTGTGTGTGTGTATTTAAAGACTGATACAGGCAGGAACAGAGAGACAAAGACAGGGAAGGGGACAAGGGGAATAACAGCTTTGACTTCTGAAATACAAGCATTGTTATCTCATCCTCACTGTGCCTTCCAAAAAGTAGGAACTGAAAGTGTTTTCTTTTCTCCATCTTGTCCTAAACAGTGAAAACTCATGTCCATGTTAATTGTAGTATTTTATGAAGCTTTTTGTACATGGAGAGCTATTAATATTTGCATTCCATTGTACCACCTGCTTATCTAGAGGCAACCCTGGCATCTCTCTACCAGTGAAGAATGAGGGTTCTCTTTACAGCTTCATGCTATAGACACTCACATTAATAGAATAAAGCGATTGGAGCTGGTGTTTTGTGTAATGAAGGTAAAAATACTTTAAATATGTGTCCCCTTGTTTTCACGGATGTCTTTAAGCATGTTTTGTCAACCAAAGGAGTTTTAAGTTTGTTGCAAGACCCAGAAGAGGTGGAATTTAGGCAGAGGGAGACTGGGTATGTAGACTGCCAGCTGGTGTCTTCTGAAATGATGAGTAGTAAGCAAGGGGGTATGAGGCCTAGGGATCCAAGGCTAACCAAAGAGAGATGCCAACAGAGTGGGCAAGTAGGAAGAAATTTGCCAAATCAGCAGTACTGTCAGGTGTTCGCCCACCTGTTCTTTTCCCAAGTTAACCTTTGGTTTGTGCATGCTACAGAAACATTTTTAAAATTTGAAGGTCTGACTGGACAGATGGCTCAGCACTTAAGAGCACTGGCAGCTCTTGAAGAATACCTGGGTTCAGTTCCCAGTATCCACATGGTGGCTAACAACTGTCCATAACTCCAGTTCCAGAGGATCCGACACCCTCTTCTGACCCACCCTAACCAATAAGGCCTCAAAGGAACAGTTTGGTATAGTCCTGGGGCCTACAATTGCACTCCTAGGAGTATTATGACCTGAAACTCATGTAGTCTTATCCCAAAGTAGCCTTCTCCAAGTGTCCTTACAGTGGACAGCCCAGCAGTAGACTTCAGTTCAGCAGAGAGAATGAGAGTCCCAGATACAGTGGCCCAGGAGGGCATCACAAGGACACACAAAACAAGTCCCTCTGAACAGTTCAAACACAGGCTCGGCTGTATTTCAGGAAAACTTGCAGACAACAGTGTCAAGAAAGTTTGGTGTAACTGACCCAGTAAAGGAGAGGGGTCACCTGATGGGGGTTCTTCGGGGTCAGTTTGTCACATGTATAGGAGTCATGTCTAATTTAACTCTTCTGTCAGAGTATGTCACAATGAAACATATCAACAAACCAAGAGGCAACTATTTAGATTCTGCAGGAGCAAGCACTTCATAATGCTAGACATACAGCAAGTAACCTACTCCACAGTTCCAGGTTCATAACTGTGATGACTAACCTTGCTGAGGACAGTGATACATCTACCTCCTCCAACAGCCCCACTGCAATCTTCATAGAGCACAATTTGTGTCTTCACCATGCATAAAGCTCCCCCATGGTTTCCTACTGCTTTAGATTATGACTCTGCATCTCTGCCCATCTTCCCGTGCCACCCATGGCTTCCACAGCTCATCCACACTGGCCTCTCTCGACTCCTACAAGGTACTATGTGCACCTGTTTTGTTGACCAGTCCTGGGAGAATGGGGTTCCTCCCATCCATGATACTTGATACTTGATGTTTAGGAGAGAGAGGTTAGAGTTGTGTCTGGTGTTATTCCTTAGCTGCCTCATGACATCCTTTGTACGCTTTTTTTTTTTTTTTTTTTTTTTTTTTTTTAAAGACAAGGTCTCACTATGCAGCCTTTGCTATGTAGGCCAGTCTGACCTGGAACTCATAGAGATTCACCTACCATCTCTACCTCTGCTGGGATTAACGGCGTACACCATTCCTTTTGTTTCTATTACCTGTGGCCGTTGTGCTTCCCCCTGAAGGGTGGGTTCCCTGGGTCTAGAATATGTCCTACCCACAGACTGACCCCACCCCAAGGACTTCCAGTAATTACTTGCTAAGTAAATAATTCAAGGCAAATGACATCAGATATAAAACAGAATAGAATGATGTGGACCTATGAGAAAAGAGTAAAGGGAATGCCCATCTAAGCTTTTTAGTGACTAGCACCCATCAGAAAGACAGCACCCTGCTGGCCACAAATGAGTAAAGGCCGCACTGGAACTGGCACCTTGCAGAGTCTGTGGATGACATTAATCACAAGGGTTGATCAGAATAGCTTCATGTGCCTGGAGCTACCACCACTGAAATTCCACTTGAATGCCAGGAACCATGCTAGGCGTTATCACTGGAGCTCACAGATGGCTAAGGCCTGTTGATTTGTTCTAAGGATAAAGATGAATTTTATAGCTCTCTCAAGCATATCTGAGAGAGGGAGAGCTAAGCTCACCCTTCCAGAGGTGGTATTTGATGATTCCTTAACATACCAGGAGGTACAGGCTCTGAACTCTTTTTTTTTTTTTCAAAGGAGCATGATGTCCTGAGACAGATACTCAGTATAGGCAGAGCAGCATCCCAGCCTCCCAGTCCCATGGCAGCTCTCTGCAGAACTACTCCCTCCTGGAAGCATAGGAACCAGGCATATGTCAACCCTAACAGGCCAGTGTTCCCCCATGGAGGATTTTCTTCCACCACGCAAGATACAGAACAGGAGAGCAAGGCCCTCTACCTGCCTGACATTTACAAGTATCTCAGATCCAACTGTTGTTTTATTGTGAGGGGTTTTTTGTTTGTTTGTTTGTTTGTTTTAGTGCTGGGGATTTAAGCCTGGACATTCTGTGTGCTAGGCAAGTACTCTACCTCTAAGTACCATCTGCAGCCCTTTCTCTTTTTACATTAGTGTATTAGTGTAGTTAGAATGCTTTTAAAAGTATGTAGGCTATTTTAACCACTTTATTTATACCTGGCAAAAATATATTTTTTATTTTGTCTTTTTCTTTTTTTTTTTTTCAGAGCTGAGGACCAAACCCAGGGCCTTGCACTTGCTAGGTAAGC